TCTCCCCATGTGACCTCTTTGATGGGACTGAGAGAGATGCGTGGAGCGGGCAGAGTAACTGGAAAATGATGTTTTATGACATCAGTTTTTTAAAGGTTGTTTCAATTTATAAAAATTAAACGACTTCTGAAATGTGTAGTTTGACTTAATTAAATGTTATATATTGGCAATAATAGACAACAGTAGATCAAGAAACCTCATTGAAAGTATTAGAAAACCAAAAACACTGAATAAACATTAAAGCCCGAGAAACACCCTCCCAACTCTCAACTAGTTCATTTAGTATGGCACTAAATTGAAAATATATAGTTTGGGGTGCCAATTTTAAAGTAATTTTGATACAAGCTTTTGATTCCATTTTTTAAAACAAGAGAGGAGATCACTTTTTTTTTTAATTTTCTGATTGAAAACATTAAAAGCACAAGTGCGGCCTAAACATTAAAGCCTGAGAAGCAACCTCCAATTCACAGCTGGTTGGTTTATTATGGTACCCCATTGAAAACATATAGAGTAGGGGTGCCAGTTTTGAAATGATTGTGAAACAAGCTTCCAATTTTATTCTTCAAAAGAAGAGATGAGATCAGTTTTTTAGTTTATTTTTCAACTTGGCAAACGAAGGGGCATTGCTTAGATTCGAACCCATCTAACATGTGTGCACAGTTTTGTGCCTTCTTAGTTTTTTGTGGAAGGTAGAGGCACATTAGCACCTTGGTTTCTTTTTCGCAGATCAGTCCATTACATTAAATGTGTTTATTACCTTTTTGGTAATCAAGTCATGTTCACTCTATCACATTAAAAGTCAGGTGTAAAAACACTCGGGACGCATTGTGATTTGATTATGATTGGATTGCTCAAACCACATTTGGCAGTGGTCAGAGATGGAGCTTGGCCACATTCAACACAAGTGTAAATAGAGTGAATTTTCCGTGTATGCACACAGTTACGTAAGCGGAAATGTGTCTGCTGAGTGCTGACCAGCAGGTGAGAGAATAAACAAGGAAACGCAAGGTATGCAAGGCTGGACAGTTGTTACAGCTGTTATTTATCCCAGACGAGCGCAGGAGGAACATATCAAAATAGCTGCAATGTTAGCAGAGAATTGATGACAAAAAGTCCAAAAAGAATTAGTCTTACCTACAACAGAGAAACGAACAGAACTGCTCTGTGGAGAGCTGAAATCACGACTGGACACTCTGGTCCGGTACTGGCAGTAGTAAGACCCCTCATGAACAAAGTCCACTTTTGGTAAACTGAAGGTGACGGAGGTTCCACTCTTGGTCTCTCTAAATGATCCAGAGTTCTGTATCAGAGTGAGGGATCCACCTGTGAACTGTGTTTCTACAGAGCAGGTGATGTCAACCTTCTCTCCCCATGTGACCTCTTTGATGGGACTGAGAGAGATGCTTGGAGTGGGCAGAGTAACTGGAAAATAATATTTTTTGGTATCAGTTTTTTTTTTTTAAGGCAGTCCAAATTATAAAAATTAAATGACACCTAAAGTGCGTAGTTTGACTTAATTAAATGTTATCTATTGGTAGTAATAGAAAACAATAGATCAAGAAACCTCGTTGAAAGTATTAGAAAATCAAAAACACTAAACATTAAAGCCCAAAAAACAACTTCCCACCTCTCAACTGGTTCGTTTAGTATGGCACTAAATTGAAAACATATAGCGTAGGAGTGCCAATTTTAAGTTTGAAACAAGCTTTTGATTCCAATCTCCAAAAAAAGATAGGAGATCAGTTTTTTGATTAAAATTTTTCCCCTTGACAGACACAGGGGAAAGATAAGCAAAGCTGGAGGCTAAAGTTCCCCAAACCAAGTGCCTTCTTGCACTCTAAGCAAATGAAAGTGCCAAGTCTGCTGATTCATATCACAACAGATAAAAAGTTAAACATAAGAAAAAACAATGTATGTGTTGATATGCTTTTTACGCAGGAGGGTAAAATTAAATCTCATGCAGTTACACTGAGGACACATTTTAATAAAAATGTAAAATTGTATCTAGGCAGAGTATATCCAGATACAGTGCACACATGAAACGTGTTAATCCAAAGTGCTAACAAGCTTATGATCTAGAGTTTTATGTCTTCTCTAATGGCAAGATGTTTCAATCAATAATGTACTGTTGTTCTCCTCAAACAGGTGAGTAAATGGCACAATGCACTGAAGGAAGTCAGTGTTTTTTCCCTGCATCACCTTTTCTTTGTGGCTAGCATAGTGTCATGTTACTTGAACTTTGCCCTATCAATTATTGTTGAGGCTCCTATGACTAACCAAGCAAACTTTGTAACTTAGTGGTTTTCTAGCTAGCGCTAAAGCTTCAGTTTTGAGGCTCTTGAGGACACTGGCTTTGACAAGAGAACATCCTCCTTTACAATCAAATGATATGTCTTGGTAATTCAGCATATAAGAAACAAAAGGGATATGGATTTAAAATTGAAAGGTAAATCAGAAAGCAATTTTTAAAATTATTTCACCCTGTGCCAGTTGCTCGATCCTCAAGCACCGATAACAGCCACGAGAGAGGCTGGGAAGATGGTGCCTGAGCCTCACATGCCAATGAAGGCTGCAAGTGACAGTGGGAGAAGGACATCAGCCGTGAGAGCAAGCAGGAGAATGATAACAGACGCGAGTGGCATGAGGACGGCGCCTGAGATCTGAAACTCCACCTCCCAGGCACTTGTTATGCAACAAGGCCACTAGTGTGTGCCTCACATTCAATCCTGATGGACGAGCTGTGGAGGGTGGGTGGTGACAGCGAGGTTGACCAACAACCTCTCTTTTCCTCTCAGCTTACTCTCCGCTTAGGCGCTCGCATTGCCTTAATGAGAGTAAGCTGAGGGAGTCTCTGCAACAGAGGAAGAAGCCATCTGGACCCTCATCCATTGCTCTTGGCTGGCTGGCAAGAGTTACAGGATGCTCTTCATTACACAGAATGGCAGTGGAGACAGCTTGAGAAGCAGCAGGTCACGAACTGCCAGGTGCTCAGGAGCCTGCTGGCGGAGCGGCACTCCTTAGCATGCGGAGAGGCAGAAGCCCCTCCATCATTCCCCTCATTCCCTGCCTCTTCTCCCCTTCCTTCCCTTTTTTTTTCTCTAGTCACTGCTCCGAGAAAGACCGGAGTTCCCCCCCTCTGTCCTCCTGCCCTTGCTCCGAGAAGGTCTGGAGCTTCCTTTCCCTGACACCCTCTCCCCTGCTCCAAGAAGGCCTGGAATTTCCCCCATTTCTTTTCCCGTTCCTGCACCTCAACGATGAGGTCCTAAAAAAGGCCCGTACTTCCCTTCCCATCCCTGCACCTTAGCAGGGAGAGGGCATGCCTCCCAAGCTTGAACACAGAGGCTTCACTCTGCCTGCTGCAGGGGCTCCTCTTGCCAAAACCATACCCAGTTCCCTTGTCTATTCTCCTGCCCTCCCTTCCTGTGTTTGGTCTTAAGCCGGGGTGTTAATCATCACCAACATCAGCCACAAGAGAGAGCGGGAAGGCAGTACCTGAGTCTCACATGCCAGTGAAGGCTATGAGTGACAGCAAGAGAAGGACATCAGCGGCGAGAGTGGGAGAACAACTCCACGAGAGGCATGAGGATGGTGCCCGAGTCCCGAACCCCGCCTTATGTTCCGCAGCGAGGCCGCTAGACTGTACCTCACGTTTGATCCAGTGGACGAGCCATGGAGCAGGGGCGGTGACAGAGAGGCAGAGCAACGAGCTCTGATTTACTCTTGGTTCAGGTGCTTGCACTGCCTTAATGGGGGCCAGCTAATTCTGGTTAGGCTTTGGCAGCATGGGCACCTTTAAAAAAGACCTGACAAGGAACATAGCAAGAGAGGAGTGGGAGAAGCAGCAGCATGAGGAAAGGACTGGGGAGCAGGCATGTGAGAGAATAAGAACTGGAAATTCTAGCTTGGAAGCCACAGAGAGGTGGCCAGTTTTATTTTTTGTTTGTCTTTTGAGTGTAAAATGTTTAAAAAAGTTTAAATGCTTGTTTGTAAAAGTTTAAATGCTTGTTGCAAACCTCACTCTGGCCTCTAGTGTCCTTTCTCCTCCTGAGGTAGCACACAGGCTGTGCTATACACCCCTAATGAGGATCATTTTCTCCTTACATTTGCTATAAAGTTACAGGTGGAATAATTTACCCGTAACATACTGTTCTTGGTATCAAAAAGGGAACACAAGCAGGGAGTTACTGCTCATTTCTTGCTGTTCTTTGGAAGTGAGCATGACAACAGGAACATAATGCTTCATTTTTGGTTTGAAAATAGGTAGTCAGGAGATTTTTTTTGTCCTTTGATATTCTCAGCTGTTGACAAGTTTGATATCGAGTTTTGCAAAATAACTGCCAACTGTAGAAGTGACTGGTGCAGTTGTATTGACAAGTTTTTTGTATACTATGAATATTTTAGAAATGTCCTAGATTGCTTGTATATCAAATGTAAATCTAATTCATGTTTATATGTATCTCATATATCATATCAGATATGTTCCACTAGTGGGTACAATTGAAATACTTTCAGCCGAAATTAATGAGAATGGGTGGAACATATAAAAACAGCTGCAATATAAATTCACTGGACAAAAAAAATTGTTGCATGCATTGTTTCCTTTGTAATAGTTGGTAATGCATCTCCTCGCCTTAATAACAGCAGCGATCCTGTAGGGAGTTGGGTTTGAGGTCTGGAGACTTTGTTAGTCCTTGAAATTGTCCCTGTGTTCCATTATGTCTGCGTCATTGAACCAGATACACACAAATTTTGACCTATACACAGTTATCATCCTGTTTTGCTCAGACATGAAGCACAATGTTAGTAGAAGAGTGGGCTAAAATGGACAGACCCTCACAGGAGACTGGTGTAATCCTTACATGACAGGATTGGCGCTGTTATTAAGGAAAGGGGATACATAACCAAGTATTAGAGAAGAAATTATGCATGTGACTTTTTTTTTTTTGTCCATGGAAGTTTTGTCAAAAATTAACCAAAATTCCAAACAGAATTGGTCTTACCTACAACAGAGAAACGAACAGAGCTACTTTGTGGAGAACGGAAATCACGACTGGACACTCTGGTCTGGTACTGGCAGTAGTAAGACCCCTCATGAACAAAGTCCACTTTTGGTAAACTGAAGGTGACGGAGGTTCCACTCTTGGTCTCTCTAAATGATCCAGAGTTCTGTATCAGAGTGAAGGATCCACCTGTGAACTGTGTTTCTACAGAGCAGGTGATGTCAACCTTCTCTCCCCATGTGACCTCTTTGGTGGGACGGAGAGAGATGCTTGGTGCGGGTAGAGTTACTGGAAAAGGAATTCAGTCAATCTGAATGACTTAATGTTATCTAAAGAAATTCAGGCATACATGTGAACTGAATACTGATATATAATTTAGTTTTATATAAAGTGATTGAAAAATTACCCACTAACTACAGCTAAAATATCACTGCAGCTCAAATGACATATGTACCCATCACTGCGACAGTTGACACATGCCTACTCGCATCCTACAGTGGTGCTGCAGTTTCCTCTACAGAGAGATTTTTTGGTTGAAATACTACAAAAACCCAGTGCTCATGTGTCTTGAGGCTCAGGGATGCACTTCTGTAGCACAGAATACCACATAGCACGACAGATTACCATAAACGCTGGAATGGTCATGTAATGCACAACATTTTATCTGTATGTATTTATTTTTTTCTTAAAATTTCCTTGTAATTAGTTTTTCGATACAGGAATCCAAGTTTTTGCCATAACTAATTAACTTCTTTACTGCTATGATATTTAAATGTAAATGAAGCATCTGTCAAGACACCACCAGGAAATATCCTAATGACAGGAGTTTACACTTAGTAGAGTTAGGCCTTTGAAATGCAGACCCTTAAAAAAATTCTAAGAAGCGAGAATCAAAGTAATAACAGGTAAGGTAAGGGTTACACCAGTCTTTTGAGATTCTGTCTATTGTAGCCCTCTGTTCTACAAACTGGGTGCACATTTTACCCAGAGTTCCTGTGTTCCTGTTTCAGCATTTTCAGCTTCTGCTCACACAGGAAGCGCAAAGGTAGTAAAAAAGAGGGGTTAAATTGGCAGAAACCAGGGGCGGCCCCAGGAATGTTTTTTGGAGGGGTGGTACAGAGGTTCTGCAACATATGGGGGGTTGGCTATATACAGGTGCATCTCAATAAATTAGAATATCATCAAAAAGTTAATTTATTTCAGTAATTCAATTCAAAAAGTGAAACTTGTATATTATATAGATTCATTACACACAGTGATCTATTTCAAGCGTTTATTTCTTTTAATGTTGATGATTATGGCCTATAGCCAATGAAAACCCAGAAGTCAGTATCTCAGAAAATGAGAATATTGTGAAAAAGTTCAATATTGTAGACTAATGGTGTCACACTCTAATCAGCTAATCAACACAAAACACCTGCAAAAATTTCCTAAGCCTTTTAATGGTCCCTCGGTCTGGTTCAGTAGGCTACACAATCATGGGGAAGACTGCTGACGTGACAGGTGTCCACAAGGCAGTCATTGTAACCCTCCACAAGGAGGGTAAGCCACAAAAGGTCATTGCTAAAGAGGCTGGCTGTTCACAGAGTGCTGTATCCAAGCATATAAATGGAAAGTTGAGTGGAAGGAAAAAGTGGTAGAAAAAAGTGCACAAGCAACAGGGACAACCGCAGCCTTGAAAGGATTGTCAAGAAAAGGCGATTTAAGAATTTGGGGGATATTCACAGGGAGTGGACCGCTGCTGGAGTCAGTGCTTCAAGAGCCACCACACACAGATGTATCCAGGACATGGGCTGCGACTGTCACATTCCTTGTGTCAAGCCACTTATGACCCAGAGACAACGTCAGAAGCATCTTACCTGGGCCAAGGAGAAAAAGGACTGGACTGTTGCTCAGTGGTCCTGTTTTCAGATAAAAGTAAATTTTGCATTTCACTATCAAAGCAACCTGGGCTTCCATAACACCTCAACAGTGCCACAGACTTTGGGGTTTTCATTGGCTGTAGGCCATAATCATCAACATTAAAAGAAATAAACGCTTGAAATAGATCACTCTGTATGTAATGAATCTATATAATATACAAGTTTCACTTTTTGAATTGAATTACTGAAATAAATTAACTTTTCGATGATATTCTAATTTATTGAGATGCACCTGTATATGGTTGTTTTGGCAGTTACTCTCGGCGCAGTGACCAGAGAGTGGGGGGCAGAACAGTCACTGACCCTTAAGCTACAATCTGATGTCAGTGCGGAGAAGATTTGATATTAAGGCTGTTTCCCCACCGAGTTTGTTTGCTACCTGAACCAGAGTTTGTGTTTTTGTGATTGCATCCTTTCAATTTGGTTCTGTTCATTTCACACTGCAGTGGGTAAAGCGTACCACCTTACACGAGTGTTTGTTAGTTGATCAGTAGTTTTGCAGTGATACAAGTGCTCTGTTGCTCTCACATTTACCAGTGTTTGAACCACAAAACTCTCACTTTGCATGAAAATATACGCTTAACATGTGTATCACAGTTAAAGCCATAATAATAAAAAACTTTCCTTGATATTTGTTGATATTGGTTTGTCACTTTAAATGTAACCAGTCAAGTCACTGATGCAGTATGTTTTGTGATCCATGAGCCAAAATCAAAAAGATTTTTTTTTTAATTTATTTTATTAGTAGGGATTACTAGGGATTCACAGACAAGTTTCAGACTATATCAGAGACTCTTGTTAAGAATAATTCCAAATTTTTACACTAACATACCCACACTTCTGCTTTTAATGTAAACTGAAATATGTATGTCAAACAGACGTATTTTACGCTTTCATTTTTAAATAGCCTGGATCAGATCATTTACGTTAAACTAGGACAGTTTGTAGAAACATGCTGAGATCAGACAACTACTGCTGTTATAAAGTGAGCTTGTTATGAACTTACTAACTTACCCACAGTGAGATCTATGGAGCTGCTCCTGGAGGATGTGATGGAGCTGCTTCCCTGGTATGAATAGTCACAGCTGTACCGGCCCTGATGTGAGGAATCCACAGTCAATTCAAATGTTGTCGAAGATTCAGCTGTTTGGGATTTTATTGATTGCCCGTTTCTGTACAATCGGAAGTTTGCAGAGATGCAGGTTGGGCTGGGCAAGACACATCTGAACTGAACAGCCTCTCCAGCAGATACAGCAGAGTGAGATGAGGTCAGGGTGAGTGAGGGACTCTGCAGGTCATCTGTTAAAGAAATTTGATCAGTAATGTTGTAAATGCACTTTAACAGTAAACTGCTGTTAAAATCATTACTTACTTGAGCAAACAACTCCAGCGTCTTCTTCGTGTCCACAGTTCTCCTTTCCAAATCCACCGTGTGAACACTGAGTTAAGTGGCTTTCAGTTCCACTACATCCAACATCATCCAGCCATGTTGGTTCACTTCCCTGACCAAAATGGGCACTGCTATGTGCGCTGACCGCTTTGCCACATCCCATCTGTCTGCACACCACCTCTGCATCATTGATGTCCCAGTCATCATCACACACTGTTCCCCACTGGCCATTGTGCTGGATTTCCACTCTGCCACAACAGCGACTATTTCCATTCACCAACCTGATCTCATCAGGGCCTGATTTATTATCTAAAACATAAATGTCTCTATCAGTCAGTGAAAATTGGTGGTGCCAGTTATTTCAGTAAGTTATCAATGGAAACTATAGCTGTAAATATACTAGAGATGCAAGATATGTAGATTTAACAGATGATGACATAAAAGCTTACAACACAATATATATCAAAACTATAAGTATTTAATTTGTCCACTCTTTACTTTTGTGCAATTCTGCCACTTTAACTTTCCATCCTTCCAATCTTAAAACCAGTTACAGCTGTTCCCAACAAAAGCTTCCCAAAGGAGTCGCTGACATCCTGTTCTCCTTCAAGTAGAAGTTAACATTCACGCAAGCAGCCACTCTCCTCACCTCAGCTGCCTCACACATTTCTCTCTCATGTGCATCTAAAATAGCTAAAGGAGATTTTTCTGAGATCAGATATAAGATAATCAACTTGCATAAGACAGGAGAAAGTTAAAGGAAAGTAAATTAAAAAAGCATGTTTCTAAAATTGTTTCCAAAAAAATGAAAAGCGCCAGAGAAAAACAAGACTCCTAAAAACCACCTTGAAGACCACCAAACCTGCCCCATCAGATAAACAGCGTTTAAAGCTTTCATCTTTGAGAAAGAGAAGTTGTGAATTTTCTATATTTCTGCATAAATTTGACCTAAAACTTTTTCACACAAGTCCTGATAGTAGATAAAGAGAACCAAATTAGACAAAAATATTAGACTTGATCATTTATTTATTGAGGAAAAAGATCCAATATTACAGATCTGTGAGTGGCAAAAGTATGTGAACCTTTAGGATTAGCAGATAATTTGAAGGTGAAATTAGAGTCAGGTGTTTTAAATCAATGGGATGACAATCAGGTGTGTGACCACTCTGTTTTATTTAAAGAACAGGGATCTGTCACAGTCTGATCTTCACAACATGTTTGTGGAAGTGTACCATGGCATAAATAAAGGAGATTTCTGAGGACCTCAGGAGACGAGCTATTGATGCTCATCAGACTGGAAAAGGTTAGAAAACCTTCTCTGAAGAGTTTGGACTCCAGCAATCCTCAGTCAGACAGCCTGTTTACAAATGGAGGAAATTCAAGACCCTCATCACACTCCCCAGGAGTGGTCGACCAACAAAGATCACACCAAGAGCAAGGCGTGTAATAGTTCGCAAGGTCACAAAGGAACCCAGGGTAACTTCTGAGCAACTAAAGGCCTGTCTCACAGTGGCTAATGCTAATGTTCATGAGTCCATCATCAGGAGAACACTGAACAACAATGGTGTGCATGGCAGGGTTGCAAGGAGAAGCCGCTGTTCTGCAAACGGCACCAAAGATCACATGGACAAGCCATTGGAACAATATGTTTGGAGAAGAGGAAAACATTGCATAAAAACCTTATGCCATCTGTGAAACATGGTGGTGGTAGTATCATGGTTTGGACCTGTTTTACTACATCTGGGCCAGGACGGCTTGCCATCATTGATGGAACAAAGAACTGTGAACTATAATAGCAAATTCTAAAGGAAAATGTCAGGACATCTGTCTGTGATCTGAAACTCAAGAGAACGTGGGTCATGCAGCAAGACAACGACCCTAAGCTCACAAGTCATTCTACCAAAAAACGATTAAAGAAGAATAAAGTTAATGTTTTAAAATGGCCAAGACAAAGTCCTGACCTTAATCCTGTAGAAATGTAGTGCAAAGAACTGAAGCAACAGTTCATGGGAGGAAACCCACCAACATAAGAGTTGAAGCTGTTTTGTATGGAGGGGCTATAACTCCACCAAGCCAGTGTGTAGGACTAATCAACAGGTACCGAAAACGTTTAGCGGCAGTTATTGCTGCACAAGGGGGTCAGACAGATACTGAGAGCAAAGGTTCACATACTTTAGCCACTCACAGATCTGTAATCATTTGGATCATTTTCCTCAATAAAAAAATGACCGAGTCTAATATTTTTGTCTCATTGGTTTAATTTGGTTCTCTTTATCTACCATTAGGACTTGTGTGAAAATTTGATGAAGTTTTAGTTTTTATGCAGAAATATAGAAAATTCTAAAGGGTTCACAAGTTTTCTAGCACCACTGTAGTTCTGCAGATTTCTTTGAGAAACTAAAAGTGAGTCTCCTAAAAAGAATGGAAGCTGTAATAAAGGTAAACAGTGGACACACTAAATACCAAAAAAAATACTGACATTTAGTTGTCAAGGCTGAAATGTAATTTTCTGGAAATTGAATAAATGAAAGGATAGTCTCCAATCTTTGTACAGTAATGCAGTTTAATTTATTTTAAGTAATAGTAAAATCTAGAGCCTAGACCTCTGGTCAGTGTTTCACTCAGCAACAGATTAATCAAATGATTGCTCTCGAGTAGCGCAACTGTTTTGTGATCCCTGGTGATGCTACAGCCATCTGTGGCTGAGAGTCTAAAAGAGAAATATAACCCAACACTGTGGCACCAGCAGTAATGGTGTGACCAGAAAGCATATTATAGTACCCGCAGGACTGGGCTAATTGGTTTCATTGAAGGAATAATCATATTGTCACAGCGTCCCTCTGTCCAGTTTGTACAGTCATGGCACAACTAAGATATAAGTCACTTCTTCCTCAACATACAGCTGAGCCAAATTACATTACCCAAATATTGTGTCAAACCTTCCTCACATTTTTTTTTAGCCCAGCTGGATCGGGTAAACAGTGTTTATGGAGTTGTAGGTCTTTATTGAAAGTATTGGGCAGTGTTTGCAAAAAATGTATGTATAACAAAAACATTGCTTTTTAATGTGGTGCACAACATATTAAATCATTCTGTTTTTCTCTCAGCTTGTTACAGAATTTTTTGGGGAATGTTTGTCCCATCATGTACAAAGATGGCATCCACAAGCTCAGAAGCACTTATGAAAGCATCAACAAACCGGATATTTACACATCTGCAAGCTCAGTGAGTTCACTGCGTACGTCTATATATTTTAGTTTTGAACAAAAGCTTGTTATCTACATGAACAAATAACATTTACAAATGTCTTAGAACTTCGCCAACTAAGCTATGCTCAGATGTTCATTTTAGTCTCACTTGATGGATATCTTTGGCCAGTGTCCAGCATTCGTCTTTTTGCAATTTATTGTCAAATTGGAAGGGGAACTGTTCCTTAAGTGTATGAAACTCTGCACTGGCCTCGATCACTGGTAATTGCCTATGTGGGTTTTTTTGCCGGGAGTTAGATTTTTTTTTTCCTAATATATTTTTATTTGGTTTTCAACCATTACGAACAATATCTTTACACTCATATAAACACATGAGGTAGAAAGCTATAAGCATCTTTATAATCACAATGTGCTAAATTTCCTTTGGGATCAATAAAGTAGCTATCTATCTATCTATCTATCTAAAAAGAGATTGTATGAGAATACAGTATTTAATGTTTTGTTTGTTTTTTAGGAATGACAATTTTAACGGCAGTTACGAATAAGCAAGTTAATCGCCTCACTTTCCAGGCCACGCAACACCCTACTTGAAAGCTTTGACTGAGAGTTTGTGATCAGTCTGTTGCCGTGTGAAATGTCTTGTGCTTTGATATCTTTTTTTTTTCAGACTGAGTACGAGTAGTTTTTTTTTACTACTCACTGATGCTGTTTCCGATACCATACTAAACTCCTTAGAATTCAGTAGTTGTTAGTGTGAGTCAGTGCAATGTACCTTAAAATTTAAATCATGAAAATCTGCATGATTTTTAAATGACATGCAATAGCTAACTATGCTACATTAGTTAGCTTGGACTGAGTAGCGCTGCAGTGAAGCAGAGTGAGTGTTGTTCCACATTAGAAAAGAGCTTCTGTACAGTAAAATACATTTCATAGTTTTGATCCTCATCTGTCTTTCAACAACAGTCTCTGTAGCACAGTGTCAGCAGGAGTCACACCTAAAGCGAATCTGAGGAGTTCACTTGTGATGAGTTTACATCTGAAGTAGAGGTCTGCACGGGACTGTTTTTTGAGTCCCACTCCCGCGAGATTTCATCCCACTCCCGCAGAAAATTGGAATCATTTCTCCCGCTCCCACCCGCAACCGAAATGATTTGTCCTGCCCCCACCTGCGCAGTCCCGCGCACGTCCAATATCTGACACGGTCTAATCACACACATATTATCCTGTGCTGAAATAACACGGCAGTCATGCTCATCAGGCTCACTGTGAGTAACTTCACCAAACACCATTTATTCCCAGTGAACACAAAGCAGGAATTAAACCACAGAGCGATTGTTTTTGGTATTTTGCTGGGCAGCTGTGGCCGTCAGACTGAAGGCTCCGCCGTCTCTCTGACACCTGATTCACACGTGCTGTCTCTGCGTGACATGAGTGATGGGCAACACGAGCGCTGCAGTTTGAACACGCTGGCCTTTCATACATACAGCGTTTAAGCTGCGGAGCAGCAAGAAATTATTCGGACAGTCCTGTTGACAGATTGATAAATGGTCACTTCAGTCATTCTGCTTAACAAAAATATATTCGTAAAAGTACACGGTATATATGTTTGTCCTGGACAGTGTTGTGACTTATGATTAGGCAAAGGTTTCAAACCTGTAGACCAACTGGGAAATCTGTCTGCAGCACGGAATGTTTTTGTCATGAATTACATAAAAAAATCACTTTGTGTTTATACGGCCTTTTCTTTAATTTTCATTGATTTTCATGGCTTATTTCAGTGTATTTAGCTGCGTGACATGATGCGTCACATGATCGGTTGCTCAAGAATGACTTTATTCATTTGAACTGTTTTACTGTTATATTGTTTATATATGATTTAGTGATCGTCCTACTTTATTTAGGCTATTCATTATTTTGCGGTATTTCTGTATATGCGTGCTTCCGCCCGCTCCTGTCTGAAGGAATCCGATTTCTGCAACACTGAAAATAAGTCCGACGCTGCAAAATGTAGTGTCTGGTCCTCTAGTGTGAAGTCTTTTGTTTGGCTGGTTGAGCTGTAGTTGAATATCCTCTAAAGCTACACATGCACTGTGATTTTAGAAATGTTGTTTCCTGGTGACTCACACTGTATGTTAAACCATCATGTACAGACAAAGCCAATTTATATACTCATACTATATGGAAACGCTTGGTCCAATTGACCTATGTGAAGCCTTGTAGACGCCTCTGTCTACGGACAATTTCAGTAAAGCTGTTTCTTTTGGGGCTGCAACAAACGACTGTTTTAATAGTCGAATAATCTGAAAATCGATTGCTGCAATGAATAATCAATTATTCGATCTAATAAAGAAAATAAAGATGAATACCTTATTTAAAAAATCACTGTTTTAATTAACATTCCTGCTAATTCAAAAGACAAATAAAACAATAATATATTTTTCCTGTCAAAATTTAAAATCAAGGATGTGCGAAGTAGCAGCAATAAAATGTAACAAACTACATCAGTTTTCCCACAGGTTCTCTGTGCTTCACCAACCATACGGCCATATCTACACATAAACATCACACAAACATGAGTGTTGCTCGCGGCATTCCCTCCGTTATATAATCCAACCTTGCTTTCTAATATTTGTAATAATTTTACTAATATGCAGTATTCTTGAAATAGTGTAATTTTAGACAGTGCCTGTCTTAAACTGCCACTCTGTGTTGGTACTGAATGCAGTCCAGCAGCGACGTTGAACGTTCCCAAAATGGCGGCGCCGTTGACGTGCCTGGCTGAACCCAACACAGCATCTATGTGTATCCATGAGCAACATCTCCAGCTGTAAACGTGAGTTTCTCCTATGTTTGCCGAATTTAAACGCACCGGTGGCCTCGACGTTAAGACAGTGATGCAGTGTTTAAACCTGTGAACGTTATCTTGAAAGTGAACAGGGTTGCTGTGAATAATAGTTCCAACTCCATTAATGATACAAGATAACAAGCACTTCAAGGTAGATGTTACAGCTCAGCTCCTAACATGAAGTAGGGCGGCTTTTAACATTCACATTAGCTAACTAGCTCACTAGCACAACTATCTTCCCGAGATGAGTCTTCATCCAGTCAGCTGACGTGTTTCCTCTTCAGATGCTGCGACAAGGAGGATGTGCTCCCATGCCAGCTAAGGTCAGCTTTACAAATAGCACAACTGAACTTTTTAGCGCAAAATGCCTTCACACTTGTTGTCGAGGCTGCCACTGCGCTTTGGTTAACTCCAGTAAGCGGCAGTGTCAAAACATTCCTAGTTAGCACAAGAAACCTGCATGATGACGTCACCAACAAATCGACTATTAAACTGGTTGCCAGCTAATTCGGTTGTCGATTTTAGTTGACTAAGTCGATTCATCGTTGAACCCCTGGTTTCTTTCAAAATAACACACTGTGCACCGAGTACTGAGAAGAAATGCTGAGAAACTGAGCTGCAGCAGCTCAGCTAACCACACTGTGCACTGAAATTTACACAGCAGGACAGTGTGGTCTCTCTACAGCAAAGGCAGTTTGAAGAAATCACCGTATTATGATTAATACCTCACTATTCTGTTCAGTCAAACAGAGTAAGGCCAGCATATACAAACTTTAGTAGCAAATGTCAATCTTTTTTCCTGTTTTGCTAGCCTATGTGTGTCCACTGGTATTGGTTGTGTTTGTGTGTATTGCACGTTGTATGCATGGTGGGAATATACCAAGGTGAAATGTTTAAAGTAGGTTTTCTCAACCTTTTCCACCCCAAGGCCCACCTGTTCTCCTATATACAAAGCATATCGGCCTACAGGAAAACTATAATAAGCTTTTTAAATGCAATTTTCTTTTTCTGGTCTTAAGTGTTGACACTGAAAACCTGATAATAAGTGCCTGAAAAAGGCCAGATCAGTTCAATCACAGAAACCAAAATTACAGAAATACCAAAATAACTTTCATTACATTAAAAGAATTAAGAACATAATTGCAGTGATGTTACAACAACAAGGAAGGTAATAAAAATGTACAAGATGCGGACTGTGATTTGGAGCTGCAGTCCATCACGTTTTCACCAAAAATACTCCACTGGCTTTGCCACAAGAGCAGTTGTTTGCTCTCGGATGTCTCTTTAGTTTTGGGGGTTTTTGTGATTCATTTGAAATAGCCCAGCCACACTCCACTCACCGGGCTTTTGGATTAGCATCATCACAATAAACAATAATAAACCTTACTTAATATATGCTTCTTTGTCATTGGCTCATCAATTTGAGTTTAATCACTCAGGTTACTGTTGCTCGCCACCAGTGTTCCGAAATGAATGCGGATCTTTTATTATGCTATTATTTTAAGGCTCGTCTGACGTTTTTAGCAGCTGCAGCTTGAGCGGCAGGAACGACATGAGAGCAGATGAGAGTCTGTAGAGTCAGACATTAAAACAGGCAAATTATACTGACTATATGGCACCGAAGGTGCTGCTAGAAGAGAAGGAAAGTGAGCTCTTTTAATGAATTCTCTCATTTGATCACAGAACACGCTTCCATCAGTGGTAAACTGAACGGGGTTCGTTTGGAAGAGGACTGAGACCTGTGGTTTTTGCCAATTCAGCTGGTTGTTGCAGACCCCAATACGGGTGGAGTGTTCACACATGTCAAAACGAAGTGAGCTAAAGAAAATAGGTCTGATAGGTCCTCACCAAACAAGGCAGGTGAAAGTATCCTGAGGAACTTCTCTGGTGATCAGCAACACCTTTGTCCAACTATCACAGAGTCAGTTAACACTTCTCCGTAAGCAGACCCTCCTTCACCTCATTTGTTCATTAGCAGTGTATGCTCACTTACGTCACACGCTAACAGCTGGTATCAGATGTTTGTGTCGGTGAATTTTAATATGTACAATTACGAGTAAATGAGCGCAGTATTGGGGCGTCAACTGATACCAGTATCGGCATTGATGCATCCCTAGTGCAGACAAAGTAGACTTTCCTCAACTCGTCCATCCACTCTCACAAACGGAAAGAAATAAGGCTTCTCACGTAGAAGTTGAGGCTGCTAGTATTCATCAGAAGAGCTGTGGGAATGAATAGTGTTATCCTGCTGGCTTCATGGTTTAGAGGTTGGTCTTGTAAGAATGAAGCTCAGTTAAGAATGCAGTTGAAAATAAATCACAGTAATACGCTGTTGTAGTGAATAACTAGGTCTGTAGGTTCATGACAAGTGAAGACCAGGAAACAAATTCTAAGTTAAAATTATTTTATTGTAAGAAAACAGTAATTCACAAAAGTTGAGCAGTTCATTTCTCGAGAAAAGAAGCTTGCCGAAACAGCTTGGTTTGAACACTAAATATTGCTGAGGCGGGATATTCTGCCCACTTAGGATTGGCTGGATCTAATACTCTTTTTCCCTTATTGTCCATTAAAGTTTTATCCCTTCTTTTTTTATTCCCACTATTGGCCACCAGTGCTCATCCATTCTCTTTGTATTACTAAACCCTCATTATTTAAGTCTGCTAATCAGTAATTTTCATGTTTTTGTTAATTGTTAATTTTTTAATCATTTTTCTTTGTTTACTTGTTGTATTTTCATTTTTACTTGCTGTGTTTTCATTGGCTGTTGCAGGAATCTGTTTAGATTGAGTCGTTGACCAGTTTACACTAAATTTTGTTCAGAGTCGAGTTGAAAAAATCAAACGTTTGGTAAACTCCGACTGGTCTGAAATACAATCGGGAGACCAAAAATCTGAGTCTGCGCCCCTCAAACATGACTCAGTTCTCACCCAACTGTCGACTCCGACAGACCCAAAAATCTGCAGACTAGAGCTGCCCAGCTCAGACTCAGCCAGACTGAGAATCAGGGCTAGAATCGGGGTAAAAGTGATGTGTAAGCCCAGCTTTAAATGATCAAAGTAACAATGGAAGGGAAATGCTTTATTTGCTCTATTAAGTTCTTCGTTCTTCTTTCTCTGGCTCTATTTCTGTCATGTTACTGTTGCTGCTCCTGATTTCAGACTTAGATCAGTTTTAAGATCAAGATTACAGTGTTATGACATAAAAATGAGTTTACCTGAGCAAGTCACACCAGCGTCTTCACCATGATTACAGTTGTGTTTGCCAAATCCATTATGACTGCATGCTGTGATGGAGCTTTCACTTCCAGAACAAGCAACATCATCCAGATGTATTGGGCCACTTCCCTGACCAAAGTGGGCACTCTCAGGGGCGCTGACCGCTGTGCCACATCCCATCTCTCTGCACACCACCGCCGCATCATTCATGTCCCAGTTATCATCACACACTGTTCCCCACTGACCATCGTGATAGATTTCCACTCTACCAGAACAGACGCCGTGTGTATTGACAAGTCTTATATTTGAGCCGTCTGTCACAGTGGGAGAAAAATGCACAGCTTTATGAACAGACATGTTTTTATAGGTTCTAATTTAACATGCAACACATTATCGCAAAAGGCTAAACATTGGATTCTGTTTTCCGCTATATTGTAGAGGTGGCACACCGCAACCCATTATGCTCCACATGATGTGGCAGAGCTCTCCAATGAAATGAATAGAATGCAACGCAGCAAATTTATAAGTGAATGCATACTGTTAAAGAACACTGACCAACAGCATCCCTTATATGTTGCTACATGAGAAGTCACATCACATTAAGTAATCAGTCCTCTGCTGTAGGCATATTAATTTCAAATCAGCTGTTAATCACTGAAAAGGAAACTTACCAGCCAACATGGTGCCATCAAGAACAATGACGGCTGAAACAAAAAAGAGATTTTTCCTTAAATCAGATCACAATCATAGTTGTTCAGTGAGGCAATAATCTGTCATTTAGTCAGAATTGTAGAGTTATTTCCAAATAAGGTTCAATATTTTTTGTTTTTTTACAGCAGGGGTCACCAGTCTTAGCCTGAAAGGGCTGGTGTGGCTACAAGTTTTCATAATAACCAAGCATGAGCTCACATCATATGACTAATCAGGAATGAGACCAACTCATTAAAAAAGTGGAATCAGATATATTTCCTCTTAATTGATATGAAAACCTGCAGCCACACTGACCCCTTGTGGGTAAAATTATTGTGTTTTACAGCATTGACAAGTTTAACACACGTTTGAGGAAGTTCTTAAAAGCTAAAAGTTGCAGAAACCATTTCTGTGTAAGGACTGGAAGTAAATTGTCTTCATTTGGGCTGATTGGATTGAAGATAAAGTGATGAATATTAAGAAAAAAATTTAGCAAAATTTTGTTTAACGCTGAAGATGAAAGGTTGTTACGTAAAGAAGTTAGAAAAGCAATTATTACTAAACCCATGTTAGCAATTAAAAATGTCTCATATAATTTAGTGTCTGTGAATTCTCTGAATTTGCAGTTGTGAGAGCCTGTTGTTACTGAAAGTCATCATTTGTTTTGGTAATTTATTGATTTATGCTCTTAACAGGGGAAACAAGTGTTGATTTATTAACACACTTCCAGTGCATGTATCCACTCTGAGTGTACGCACACAATGTTTTTAACTTTATCCTTATAAATATGAATATAAGTATTCACACACCACAAAAGAATAACAATGAAAACAAAAGAGTTACATTTTTGAAACGCCCAGTGGAAAATTAGCCAATTGGGAATTGTTTTACTCTGTGGTATCTAGTTAGATACAGCTAAGCAGACTCTCTTTATGACTTCAAGAAGCCCTACTGTGTGAGCTTAACCATCAGCATAGTTATGAAGTGACAGAGGATTCAACTAATCATGATTTGATTTTTCATTGGGCAGAACCAGTTTTGTGAGGACAAACGTCACTCATATGTAGGGATCGTATGTCGAACACAAGGCCTGCGGCAGTCCTATCCAGCCTGCAAAATTATTTAGATTTTCGATTAATATTAGTCTGTTTCACAATGCGTTGCAGTATAATCCCCAGCATGCACTGCAATGTAAAATGCATTTTTTTTAAGTTTTCAAGTATTCATGTAATATTTCAAGGTTTACTGCAAGTACATATGTTCTTCTGTTGATGTTTTGCCGTATTTTGAATAAACAATGGCCAGTTTGGGCATAAAGCAAAATTTATTTATTTAAACCTGAAATACAAACATAGGCGTTCTCTGGCTCATGGGGTTGTTGAGATTTTTAATAACGGCTCTTTTAGTGGTTGAGTTTGAATCCTCTGCTCTAGGCATTCTGGAAGTTCTAGATATGTCACTGACTAGATTCCCTGAATGCAAGCAGCAGCCTAAACAATGACTAGTTAGAAATGAAAACAGCAGCAGCAGCTCTAAACCAGAGCTCTCTGCTGAACGTCACTGTGAAACTATGAACTTTGTGTTAATGTATCTGTCACAAGCTTCAAGTAAAATGTGCAGTGGGTTTTAGAAGCTTAAAATGTGTTATGTAGAACTGCCAAAAAAGGTTTATGTGAGTCACCATTAGTGTAGCACTAACAAACTACAAGACTCTTAAAGGGGTGGTAGGAGAAGTTAGCATTATCGTAGATGTGAGTTTTTTCCACAAGTAAGAAGTAATACATAATCAGCTTTTTGCAGAATTGTGGTTGCCTAGGCCATGGAATCTCATTCACTTTCTTTTTAGAAATTAGTTGTAAGTTGGCTGGAGAGATTAAATTCTCCTCTACTTTCTCCTGGTACATCGCTTAATTGAGGCTTCTATTGATGATGTATGATGACCCAGTACTATATCGTAACACTCCCACCTTCATGCTTCGCTGTGGATGTTTTTGGGATCATAAACAAAACTTTCCTTTCTCCAAACATGACGTTATGCCAGTTATTGCCAAAGAGTTCTATTTTTGTTTCTTTTCTGAGTAGAGCAAATTGTTCCAAAATAGCAAATTTAAGCAGAGGAGTATCATGTGGGCTGTAGGAACAGAGATGATTGCGGCATTCATTGCTTGTGGTAGTGTAACTGTTGTTCCTGCTGCTTTCATTTCGTCCTGCAACTCTTAAAGTGACTGCTGTCTTCTGTCTTACCTTCCTTCAGTAGCCTGATAGAAGTCTTGTGTGGTGCACCTGTCTGGGTGTGATTAGTTTTGGTTCCATGAACTTTCCACTTGTGTATTATCAAACTAACTGTACTGACAGGCATGTTTTAGACCTTTGCTAGGGCTCTGTAGCTTCCATTTAAGTGTTGTGTAAAAATGTTGTCCCTGAGAACTTCAGGAATGTCTTTCAACATGAGTCCTCCTTGTTGCATGAAATTTTCCTAACCAGGTGGACAAGGTGAAACTTGCATGAGAATATTTTTATTTTTACAACATTAGTGTATAAACTGATTTATTTTTAACCTTTACAAAAATGTAAAGAATAAAATATGTATATGAATGAAAGTGTTTATAAGTACAAAGTTTAGGTAAGCCCCAATGTGGTAGGCATATTCCCAGTTTAGTTTAGCAAGCACTCTGACCCAGTACTGAATCACTTATGTTCGTCTAAATGAGAAAAACATTAGGATAGATATAGAATAACCTTTTGGTCCTGTTTAAACTAGCTAGCTAAATATGTAACTGTGTTAGACTTATAAATGGCATTCTTGAGCTGATAAATGTGGCTTGAAATTCCCTCATGTTGAAGTTTGTTCTGGTTATGAATGAAATGTTTTTCCATTTTTACTTCACGTAGGATTTCAGCCATTCAACAGTTTGGGATCTCTTGTTGTATTTCTCGTTTCATAAAGTGCCATGTGCTTTCAGTATGTGAAAGGTCTCGACTGCAGGCAGGTCAGTTTAGCACCCAGACTCTTTAACTACAGACCCGTGCTGTTATAATATGTGCAGAACGTGGTTTGACATTGTCTTGCTGAAATAATCAAGGCCTTCCCTGAAAAAGACGTCATCTGGATGGCAGCAAATGTTGCCAGAGCATGTATACATTGTTCAGCATTAATGGTGCCTTCAGACATGTGCACGTCACCCATGCCATGTACGCTAATGCACCCTTATACCATCATGAATGCTGCATTTGAACTGTGTGTTGATAACAAGCCTGATGGTCTTTAGCCCGGAGGATGCGGTGTCTATGATGGAAAAAAAATCAAATTTAGATTAGTCAGACCACAGGACACTTTTCCGCTTCGCCTCAGTCCATCTCAAATGAGCTCAGGCCCAGAGAAGGCAGCAGTGTTTCTGAATCCTGTTTATGTCTGGTTTCTTCTTTGCGTTTTAGAATTTTAACTTGTATTTGTGGATGCAGTTTCTAAACCCATGCAGTGATTTAAAGTACAGAATCATGTCTGTTTTTTTTAATGCAGTACCGCCTGAGGGCCCAAAGATCTTGGCTAACCAATACTGGTTTTTGGCCTTGTCCCTTACATACAGAGATTTCTCCAGATTCTCTGAATCTTTTAATGATATTATGTACTGTAGATGATGAAATCCCCATGTTTTTTTGCTCTTTTACGTTGAGAAACGTTATTCTTGAATTGTTGCACTATTTGAGTGGTGAACCCCTCCTCATCTTTACTTCTGAAAGACTCCGCCTCTCTGAGATGCTCTTTTTATACTCAGTCATGTTACTGACCTGTTGCCAATTAACTTTTAGGTGTATTATTTTAGCATTACACAACTTTACCAGCCTTTTGTTGCCCCCGTCCCAACTTTTTTGGAATGTGTTGCTGCCATCAAATTCAAAATTGGCATATATTTTTCATAAAACAATAAAAGTTCTCAGTTTCAACACTCGATATGTTGTCTTTGTGCTATTTTTAATTAAATATAGGGTTTAAATGATTTGCACATCATTGCATTCTGATTTCATTTACATTTTGCACAGCATCCCAACTTTTTTGGAAATGGGGCTGTAGTTCTATATAGAACCTTGAACAATCAAAGAACCTTTTGCATGATTCAGGTGTTTTTTGCATCATGAAACAGTTTTTCAGACTGATGGTGAATGTGTTCTATATAGAATTTTATTGATAAGGGTTCTGTATACCACTAAAAGGGTTCTTCTATCGTTACGATGTCAAGCTTGTTACAATAGAAAAACCTATTTTGTAGAAAAGAAGAAATAATAATAATAATGGGCTGTTAATGAGCTGATTAGTTGAATCAGGTGTGGTGGGAGCAGGAAAAACACTAAAAAGTGCAGGACAGTGGGGTCTTTTTATAAGACTGATTTAGAGCCTTATATATGATTGAATAAGCTCACAAGACAAAAAATAGTCCCCTGTGACTGAAATATAACTAATAGCGTGTAATACCTCCACAAACACAAATAACAGGGGTGCTCCCTAAATGTCAAGAGGCACGCTGGATAGCTGGGAGGCTACCACTCTCCAGCTTGGCTCCATTACCGGCAGTTGAGTCGTTGCATATTAAAGCCAGAGGTTGAGCAAGCCAGAGCCATGTAGGGGGGCACAGCCCAACCGCTTTGTTTGTCAGTCGTAAGTAGCAGAACAGTCTGCAGGAAAAACTTAAAGTTGCATTTTGGAGCAAAATTTGTTCTCCTTCAGCTTCTTTTGTCTTTCCTGTTCCCTGCTCACTCCTACTCTTCCATCACTCTTTCTCGGTGAGTGACAGGGGGTCCGGCTTCCTTGATCTCAGCAAAGCTGCCCAGAACTCGTTCACCCCTCTGTCTCAAGCTCAGTTTTGGGTGTGGGCTGTGCAACACAATAGTAAAAATGCTACTGTCTGAAATGTTTGGATTGTGTTGCAGAAAAAAAAAAATCATGAAACATTAAATAGTGTACTTTTGTACTGTTTTCACTTTAATCAGGTCACACCACAAACTACAGTGTAAAAAA